GCAGCTGGGAGCTGTTGGCCCAGGAAGCGGCCGCCCTGGAGACACAGGCCTGCTTCATGAGCGCCGACGGGACGCCCGTGCAGCCCTGGGATGTGATGGTAAGAGGTGGGTCCCGGAGGAGGAAGACGCTGCTGGTGCCCGTCCCAGGGTCCAGGTCCCCCTTCCCTGCCAGTGCCACATCCCCGGCTGCTAGGAGTGTTGGAAGCTGATGGCTTACAGCCAAGGCACCAGCCGTTCCATCCCAGCCAGTGCTTGAGTGACATGCGCATAAAAGGCCCGCCCAGTTGCAAGGCAGGACCAACTCTGTGATGCAATTGCTGCTCCAGAGCCCGCTCTGGCTTTCGGGGGTGTGGGGGGTGGAGCTCTCTCCAGCTGAGCCCCGCCACCAGCTCCTGCTCCCTCGCTCCCCTTCTGCAAGCCCTGTTCCGGATAATGACATGCACAGGAATCCCCGCCTCAGCTCTGCTTCTGGGGAACCCCACCCACCACAATAGCCACGGGCAGCTCCCCAAAGGATAGACTTCCATCGCATTTGCTATTTTGCAGAATCTCATAACCAGTGCTTCACAATGAAGGCAATCCATGAGGCGTGGGCCTCATTCTTGCCCCCATTTAAAGATGGGGAAGCCTGGCCAGTGTGGTTCAGTGGTTGAGCGTCGACCTATGAACCAGGAGGTCACAGTTCGATTCCCGGTCAGGGCACATGCCCGGGTTGTGGGCTTGATCCCCAGTGTGGGGCATACAGGAGGCAGCTGATCAATGATTCTCTCTCATCCTTGATGTTTCTCTCTTTCTATCTTTCCCTTCCTCTCTGAAATCAATAAAAAAAATATTTTTTAAAAAGATGGAGAAACTGAGGCTGTGTGGTGGTGGTAGAACCTGAACTTGAACTCTGGTCCCTCTGACGCTGCGATCTGACAGCCAGTTGAGAAGAAAAAGAGCCATAGGAGATCGTGGGAGTCTCGTTCTCATGGGAAGCCAAGGGGCGGGGCCTGGGCATTCGCAGGCAGTCCTTCTCCACCTGGTCCTACCTGTGTTCTCTCTGCAGCCCACGCTCCTGCACCAGACCCCAGCCAGGGACCTCGACAAGTTCATCAGTGACTTCCTCCAGCCCAACCGCCAGTTCCTGGCTCAGGTGAACAAGGCGGTTGACACCATCTGCTCCTTCCTGAGGGACAACTGCTTCCAGAACTCTCCCATCAAAGTCCTCAAGGTGGTCAAGGTGAGCCCCAGGGAGCTGTGGGCCCAGGGCTGCAGGCCGGTGATCTCGTGTGGGCCCAGACCTGGCCTGACCCACTTCCGTGGGCTCTGCAGCAGCCAGCACAAGGCCAGACATAGAAGAGAAAGTGGAACAAGGTCACGGGTAGATGGCCCAGGGAGGGCCCCTATCGGCCCAAGAGGTTCGTTTGGGTTGCTCATGGCAGCCAACTCCAGAGAAGCAACAAAGGAATGTGTTGGCTGATGGGAACGGACGGCCTGGAATAGGCTGCCTTCAGGCACAGCTGGATCCAGGAGCCCATGCCGGATCTTCAGGGCTCGGCCTGCTTCTGCTCGGATGGGGCCTGTCCACGGGATGGTCCTTGGCATCTCTTCTAAAAAGGGGAATTTTCTTTTCTCAAAAGTCAAAGAAGTCTGGGAATTGAGTTTCATTGGCCTTGCGATATGTCCCTTAACCAGTCACGAGGGCTGGGGAGGCACCGTGTGCTGGCTGGCCAAGCCTGGGTCACATGGTAGAGTCAGCCCTCCTGGGTGGAGAGTGGAAGAGCAGTGATTCCCCCCAAAGAAAGCCCAGTGCTGATCCCAGCAGGAGGAAAGGGTGCTGGGGGGTTGACAAAAAGTCACAGGATCTGCTCTATCCGATATGACCTCGGTTCACAATTGGAGTCACTGGGAGACACAGGTCAACGCTGGAAAGAGCGTCAGCGTAGCGTCGGCCAGTGACAAGTCCTGGGCCTAGGGGCTTGCTGTGTGACCCCAGGCAGGTACCTCCCCCTCCCTGTTCCCTACTTCCTCCTCCATAGCACCTGAGGACAGCAGCCTGACTCACTGGTTCTCAACTGTGGCTTCACTTAGAATCCCAGGGAGGCTTTTAAAATAGATACTGATGCCTAAGACCCCTCCCTGGACAATGACATCACAGCCTCGGGGACATAGGAACCAGGCCTGAGTCGTTTTTAAAAGATCACCAGCCACAGGCCTGAAAAAAAAAGAAGAACAACTCAAATCCTTCCCAGCCCCAAACATGACGCAGTGGAGAGTCTGCCTTAATTGGAGGACGGCACCTTACGTCTTGCACATCTCTCTTCCTCACAGCTGTGCCCGATATTAACCCCCCATTAAAGATCTGAGACAGAGACGTTAGGTGACTTGCCCAAGGTCACACAGCAAGTTCCTAACTCAGTCCAGAGCCCATCGGCTCGGGCAGGAGGACATCAAGCAGGACCTGAGGGCTCCAGCCACCTGCCATGTCCTCCCCAGGGCGGCTCTTCCGCGAAGGGAACGGCGCTGCGAGGCCGCTCCGATGCCGACCTGGTGGTGTTCCTCAGCTGCTTCCGCCAGTTCACCGAGCAAGGGAGCACGCGGGCCGAGGTCATCTCAGAGATCCGAGCCCAGCTGGAGGTGTGTAAGCGGGCGCGGCAGTTCGAGGTGAAGTTCGACATCCCCAAGTGGGAGAATCCCCGCGTGCTGAGCTTCTCGCTGACGTCCCAGACGATGCTGGACCAGAGCGTGGACTTCGATGTGCTGCCGGCCTTTGATGCCCTCGGTGAGGTGCTGGGGATGGTGGCAGAGGTTGGGCGCCTGCTCAGTCGTAGGCATTGTCGGTGTATATGTTTATCACCACTTCCCTGCAAAGGGTCTGGACCCTGAGCTGGCTTCTAGTTCCATCAGTTCCACCAGCATCTGGGTGACCTTGACGGGGACTCCTCTACCTTGAACCCCAATGTCTTCATCAAAGTGTCTCAGTACATCCTCAGCTTCGAATATATGTGTGCCACTTCCCCCGCCTGCCACAGACCCATTCGATCGGTCCAATCCATGCGTGCACCTACTACGTGCCCAGCACACTTCCAGGCA